AGACTCTGGAACCCGCCGGGTCTGACGTAAAGGTCACCGCTCCGCCACGCTGCGCTTCCTGCAGCACTCCGTGACCTTACCATGACCTTTAGGCTGTAAGCAGCTTCCTGCAGAACCGGACCAAGCAGAACCAGCACCACGCTGAGACTCCAGCAGAAACCGGTTCAGGGTTCTGTTCCACACAGAACCGAGCCAGGAGGTTCTGGTCGTCCTGGCAGGAAGAAGCAGATCTCCAGTTTATAACGGATCAGAACCGCCCTGAGGAGCGAAGACTTCACCAGCAGAAGAACCGGACTGAACCGGACCAGGATCAATCAGAACTGTTCTGTTTTTCTGTTTATTTCTATAGATCTGTTTCAAAACGCCTCGAGATCATTTCAATCGATCAACCAATCAATCCTATTGATCCCAGCTGTCAGTCATTCAGCCCTGGACCAGCAGGGGGCGACAGGAGAGGAAAACGCCTTTAACAGAAAGGGACCCTACTGGTGTCATGTGACTGCAGCAGGATCCGGTCCGGTTCTGGTTCTGGAGTCACTCAAAGTTCTGCCTCTGTCTGTTTCAGCCGACCAGCGAGGAAGATCTCTGCCCCATCTGCTACGCCCACTCCATCTCCGCCGTCTTCAGGCCCTGCTCACACAAGTCCTGCAAGTGAGTCCACAGAACCACCCAGAACCACTCAGAACCATCCAGAACCACTCAGAACCATTCAGAATTATTATTTAGTAGATTTAACTAAAGGTCAAAATTAGATTTGATCTTTTTTAGACTCGATAGTCGTGTGAACTAAATCTGCCAATAACCATTAATTATATCCTCACTTTCAACCTTTTTGGGTTCCTCTGGTTCTGGTTCTGGTTCCTCTGGTTCTGGTTCTAATTCTGCTGTGTTCTGTGTGCAGAGCCTGCATCAATCAGCATCTGATGAACAACAAGGATTGCTTCTTCTGCAAGGCCACCATCACCGGGGTGGAGGACTACAGCAAGCCGTCCTAACACACACTCTCACACACACACACACACACACAGCCCTCCACCGGAGCTCCGCCTACTGCCGAACATGGAGGCGTCTGCAGCCAATCAGCTGGCAGCTCAATGGAGACTAGCAGGTTGAGCTTTTATTTTGAAAGAGTCCTGGAGTTTGTTTGTGTGTGTGGTAGCAGCTCTGACTCTGGACCGTTCTCCCCTTCAGAACCAGAACCGAGCCGACTCATGGATGAGCTGCAGCATCAGAAGCAGCTTGGTTCAGGTCCAGTCTAGTTTCAGGTTCTGGTTCTGTAACTGGTTGAACATCTTTCAGTGTTTCAGAGCAAAAATGCAGCAACTGATCGGTTGGTTCTGATCCGGATGTTGGTTCTGTTGGTGCGAAACTGCAGCATATCTGTAACCTCATTAAATTATTAATCCTGAACCAAACATCCGGGCCCTGTCTGCTCCTTTTGGACCCTCCGGTACCAGACTCGGTTTCCATAGTGACGTCATCACCAGGGCAGCCATCTTGTTCTACTCGCGTACTTTACAGCTTCTCTTTATTCGGACTTTGAGTTCAGTACGGTCTCCGGGTCGGGCTCCAGAATAAAAACGTGGTGAACGTTGAGCTTTAGCTTCTCGGCTGATGAAACTAACCGAGCCGACGGTCGGAGCTTCGTCTCATCGGAGCTGTTTGGAGTTAGATTCGTCTTTCTTCTGTTCATACTGGATTCGTGTTTTATTCTCCTGGCCCTCGTCATCCACAGACCGGACGGTTGAAAGAAAAAACTGAAAAATACTTTCTGCCATTTTTTTAGAAAAGAAATGGCAGAAAAATGAATTAAAATCTGAGGAATTTGACCAAACAGAACCTGCAGGAACCACATCCCGTCCTCACCGCTCCTCCTCCAGGGTCTTCAGTTTGCGGCTCCGGTCCAGAAGGTGCCAGGTTCTGTGGTACCAGACAAACCCGACACCGCTGGACAGAAATAGCTGCTCAACGATGAAGAGGCGGAGGAGGACTGCTGAAGGACGGTCTGGGAGTATTTATAGCAGAACCGGGCCGGTCCGTTTCCCCTGATCGATGTCGGAGCAGAACCTACGAAGCTAAAACATAATTCACAAAAAAACAGAACCAGATTCACACGTGTTTTTGATGCAAACACACGTATATCTTGATTTGCATTCATGTATGTATAATAATCTAATTTCTCCTCCCTGAACGTAACGGAGCAAACAGAAGCTGGTGTTCTGGTCCGGTTCTGGTCCAGATGTTCTGCCTCCTCTTCCTGCGTTTTGCTGCTGAAAACCGTAAACCTGAGGAGGCTCTCTGACTTCAGCTTCAGGTATCGCCATGGCAACGCCAAACTAAACTCACCTGCAGATAAAACGGGCTGGTTTCCTCATCCTGCTCTGCAGATTAGGGTGATGGAAAAGAGGCAGCCTTATCAGAACGCTTTGACTAATACCTCTAATCTGATTAACCTGAGGGATATGAATAATAATTTACAAGACAATTTTATTTAAATGTGACGGAAAAATAAGACAAACTTCTTGGTTAGACAAAAACTATTTAAAATATTCAAGTTTATCTCTATTTTTATCTAACTTTCTACTTTTTGTCCAGGTTTTCATCTTAAATTTGAGATAAAATCTGTAAAGGTTTCATTTTTGGACTGAAATTTTTTTTCACTTCCAGCTTTAAAGAAATAAAACTTCTCGCGCTCCAATGAAGGTTGGTTTATTATAATGACATAAAGATGGAGAGAAAATATTAATCAGCTCAACCAGATAATTTTACATTATGAACCATACTTTCCACATTTTTAATTTCTAATACAAAATAACCCCAACTGTACAATATTAGTCATTCCTCCTGTAAACATAATAACATCCGCCGGTTCGCCCGGGTTCTGTTCAGATCAGAACCTGGACTGTTCGGCTGATTAAAATAATCTTTTTAGATTGTAAACCTTTCAGTAGCAGAACCTGAGGGCAGACAGCGTACTTTGATTCAGAATGGATTATCGGTTTTTCCCAACCCTGGTCCTCAAGTCAGACTCACCTGCATGCTGTTTGCAAATCAGCAAAACCTGTTAATCAGCCATCAATGAAAGTCATGTGCTGAATTAGGAGAATGCCTAAAACCTGCAGGGCCTGCCTGGAGGACCTGCTGGAAAACCCTGGATGAGACGTTGGCATTTCAGTCATTAGAGTTCAACCTCAAAACAACTTTGATTCGATGAATCTGCCCAACGTTGGTTGCTTGGCTGCAACTGGATGATTGATCCACCATTGGTTGTCAACCGCAATCAAAAATCAACCATTCTGACTATAATTCAATGTTGAGTTATCATCACCTGCTACCTGGGACGACAAGTCTTTCTTACCAAGACGATATGGATCATATCCTAAATATACGTGTATTTTTTCAAGATGGCGCATCTGTGCCAGCCCATTTAGGGCGTTAGCATGATCGCTGTGATCTACTTAGCTTTAATGCTGTCAGTAGCATGTGGGGTTTGCTGACTT